AATTTATGAAACCAAAAGATATTAAAAGGCTAGCAGAACAAGCAGAACTGCGATTAATTCCGGAAAAATCCAAATTTGCGTAGTGCAAGTACGTAGTGGCTAGTGGCAAGTGGCGTAGTGACTATATTGAAGAATCCACTTCAATCAAAATAGTTGTTTGGTCAATGTCCGTCTCTTGTTGCGGCGTATCTAAAGCTTCCAGATGCTAAAAAATACACAGGCCACGCGTTTCGACGGACTTCTGCAACAATCATGGCAAATATTGGAATGAGTGTGGATGAACTTAAACGACAAGATGGGTGGAAGTCTTCAACGGTGGCAAATTCGTATGTTGAAGAGTCTACCACGAATAAACTTTGTGTGTCAAGGCACACTATTGGGGCAGTAAGTGGAAGTAATATTATTACATCTGTGGTTCCAAAAAGGAATGTATGTGAAACAGCGCAATGGGAGGAGTCTTCTACTAGTTTAAATAATAACGATGTAATTAAACGTTCCGGGTTACAATTTTCAAACAACATAATTGTATAATTCATGTGTATTTCAATAAATAAATAAATTCGTTCGTGTTAGCATTATCTAAATTTCTAACTAAATTTATTGTTACCATGGCAACTTTAAAGCACTAGAGCTTTAAAGGCCCCTTTATGCACGCTTTTGCGTGTTTTAATCAGTGATTGTGATGCAGGTATAATAAAAAATATTTTATTTCATTTATTATACATACTGGGTGACACAGGGGTGCGTGCAAGCTCCATAACTTTTTTCTATCCAAGTTATCGACATAAAATGAAGGCAAACTCTGAGTTGATGTTCCATCGCCTACTACGATTTTTTGAAAATGACTTTTTCAAATACAACACTCTATATGTATTTATTGCATGGCATTTTTCATGAGCTTTCTTTTTGTCGATATAGGGTTTGTGGGGTCTCTACTTTATAAAAGTTTTTTACCAAAAAAAAAAAGGAATTGAATAGGCCGCTGTCGTAAAATTTGTCACTTTCGTGTACTTTTAATTATTGCCTATAATGAATTTCACTCTTGAAGAATTAGTGAATATGATTTTCCGTATTGGTGAAGCTGACAGAGATCCTTTATTAGCAAGCAGAATGTCTTTATTTCATCGGTTTGAACTAATTGCTAATGTTTCTTATTCCAAAAAGGAAATTGTTGGTGGTCGAATCAATGAGGGAAATGAGTTGCAAGTTTTGTTGATGCTACAGGAAGAACCTCACTTAAGCACTAGAGACATAGCAGCGGAAACAGATATTTCACAAAGTAGTGTGAACAGAATAATGCTAAGACATAAATTCCACCCTTATCATTTGAACCTACATCAAGAATTGTATGATAATGATTTTGCAAATAGTTGCGTTTTGTATTCAGATGAATGGTATGATTGTAGAAGATAATAATACTTTAAATAAAAGATTGTTTTCAGATAAAGGATCGTTTAAGAACAACGGGTCGGTCAAAAGACGTTATGCATTATTATGGAATCGAAAATCCTCACTGGTTGAGGATTGATGATCACCAAAAGCGATGATCGCTTAATGTTTGGGGAGGGATCATTGAAGATCACATTATTGGATCTTACTTTTTCGACAATGTGCTGAATGGTGAAAGGTATTTACATTGTCTTCGCGGACATCTACCCAAATGTTAGAAGAAGTAGATTTGAACACCAATATTTCTTATTTTGCACACATCTCACAAATTTTACAAAGTAGACGCTATAGACCCTATATCGACAAAAAGCTCACAAAAAATGCCATGCAATGATGCAATAAAATATAGAATGTTGTATCTGAAAAAGTCGAGTTATTGCTATTTATATTTTGTCTTTTTCAAAAAATCGTAGTAGGCAGTATTAACAATAGGTAGTATTAACAATTTAATGGCGAATCCAAAAATGTCACAAAAATTTGGTGTTTTCATTAAAAAAAAAAACAGAACTTGTGTGTCTTATTTTAGGACATTGTGTATATGAACAGAAATATTTTTATAATTCGCCTCATTGAATATTCTATCTCCTGTATAAATTTGTAACGATAAAAACGAAACACCGGTATTTTTGAAGCTTCTTCACACTCGTGGAATTTTTAGCCCATCTACACTTAAAATAATGTTATCAAAAGCGACTGGATGTTAGAATCATTTAGATTAACCGTGTATTTAAAGAAAGATGAAAATTCATAAAAATCCTCGATGCAAGCATAAAGCTATATTTACACACATAAATGATTCGAATTTAATGTCCTGTCAGAAACAGAATAGCTTGTTTCCCTTGTAAGCTCCAGGGCAACATCTACGAAATGCAGAACCCTAATGAGATGTGTACTTTGCCTGCAGTCCTGTCAGATTCATCTGCTCTTATTCAATCTAAATTTATTTGATGTATTGTTCTTTAATGTTTACATTACGACTGTTTCACACTTACAGATTTTATTACACTAATGGCTTTTTGAAAATATATTTTTTTAAATACAGGGTGATTCAGATAAGATAATGAGCCCGCCGTTCTGGCGATGCAACCCAAAAAACAAATTTTGTTTACGTTTTGATCTAATTTTAATTACGATTTGCATTTGCAGTCCAAGTTATCTTATGTTGCTCTGATAGTGTTTTGACAAGCAATTTATGATTTGTAAAAAAACTGTTTGCCTACCTTTAATGTTTAATTCTTTCATACATTTTTGTATTGGGTTTACACCGAAAAGACTTCTCTATCATTCTGCGAGAACTGAATGGCACTAATGATCGTTCTCTGCACTGATGTCAGAGTGACATAAGATGATAACTTGGATTTAACTTGCCAATCCTAATTTAAATTGGATCAAAGGCGTAAATGGAATTTGTTTTTTGGGTTGCATCGCCATATCGTCAGGCTTATTATCTTATCTGAATCGTCTGTATAATAGGTAATAATATTAATGACAACAAAGATAATTTCTATAAATACTAGAATTGTGCCGTGGTCAATTGACCCAATTTTTTTTGACCGTTTGACCCGTATAACAGTCAAATATACAGTGCGCCTGCTCTACAGTCATACGTGTAGTGTATGCACGTTTTGTCTCGTCTTAATAATGAGGGCGATACACAAAATGTCATTCATAATTAAATAAATCAATATTAATTTAATATTAAGGCGTTGTTTATTTTATTAAAAATAAAAAGAACAAATCTAAAAAAATAAGGTTTAGTAAACACTTTTTTTAATATTGTCAAATAATGTCAAATGACTGGAAACTTTTTCACCGGTCAAATGCACAACTCTAATAAATACAAAATATCTCTTTTAAAGATCTGCTATCAATGCATTGCGATACTTCAAACCTTTAACATAAACAATGAAATACAAGGTGTTTCACATAATTTTACGAGGCCTGCGCCTGTAAGATGCAATCAATAATACATATTTCGATACGAACTCTATTACAAATTTTGAAAAATTGGATAATCTTCTCTAGTTTGTTCACCCTTTCCAAAATTACAACATTTTTAGTTAGTTAGTGATCAAGATAGATAAACTAGAATCATATCCATGCCGTCTCTTGATAGAACAAATGATAATTGTTTCTTAAAAACTGCAGTTTATGACTATTAATGAAACAGTGATTAGTTTGACAACTACTGTCATGGGTTTTCAAAAATTAAATAATTAAATGTGTATTTTTGTATCTAGTGTTTTATGAATTTTGTATATTTGGGTGCGTAAATTAGGCGCAAGTCTCGTAAAGTTATGTGAAACACCCTGTAGAAAATTTGAATAAAAAAAATGGTTTTATTGATTGTCTGTATTTTGTTATTGTTAATACTATCCGAGAAAGGTTACATCTATACTTCTCTCGGGGGCATGCAAAAGTGTGTGCCATATGTGTAAGTAGTCTTATTACAAATGTATAAATCATTATGGATTATGAACAATTTTTTGATACTATACTATAGCAATTATCGTTTAAATTTACAAGTCAACAGGTCCTGAAAAAAATATCTTCTTTTATTAGTTTTATTGATTGATTAAAAACTGACTTGTTGCAATTTCTCATGTTGCATGTAATGTGTCGAAACAACAGTAGAGAGACATTAGTTTGCATTTTCTTTGCATTATCCTGCATATTTCAAGTACATGCTGTAGGTAAATTAAGAACATTGATAGAAAAGATTGATGTGTTTAACGTAACTTATACAAAATGTGTCGGAAATGCACCTTCAAAAATACAAAGTAAAAGTGAAATAATAAAAATCTACTACGAAATGATTCAGAAAGATTGAGTTTGTTGATAACAGATTTGAAAGTATTTTTTTCAATAATTTGAAACAACCGGATACGATTTTGCTCGACAAATACTTGACGTACAACCCCTCAAGATTGTTGAATTGTTAATTAAAAGCGTACTCCATTGGTAACCTTGAATACCTAATTAAAGTCAGGATTGCCAATAGATTAAAGTGAATATTTTTAAACAACGTTATTCATGCTTATGATGAATTTGTATGGTTGTATTTATTTATGAGTGGTTGGATAATTAACGTAATTCTTGAGGTTTTAAAAATTTTAACGATGCAAATAGAGTGTAAAAGCAAGATTATTCGAAAGTATTTGTGCATTCGTAATTTTAAATGTTACATACCATTTCGTTTGCCTACTTTTCTGTAAGCTATAGTGCCTAAAACGACAGAACACACAATAAAAATTAAAATAACAACCACAAAATAGAAAAAAATCTTAGATTTTAAACAACTTTACCACACAATGAAAAAGTAGAAAGTTTGAGAAAAGAGTTACTCAGAAAATCTGAAGGAGATGACAGTACGCTTCTGCGTATTTAGTGGTTTATACTACAGTTACAGTAGACAGACAACTGGATGTTAGTCTACTTGATGCATAGACACTTAGGAACAGTTTTACAGCATGTTAACAGCATGACGGGCCGCTTAAATGAATATTTTCTCTTAGGGTTTCTAATATTTTTATCTTATTTCTTTATTTCAGCTTGTGAATGCAACCAACATGCTCGTCGTTGTCGATTCAACATGGAACTTTATAAACTGTCCGGAAGAGTTTCCGGTGGTGTTTGTTTAAAATGTCGACACTATACGGCAGGAAGACATTGTCATTATTGCAGAGAGGGTTTTTATAGAGATCCCACAAAACAAATTACTCATCGCAAAGCATGTAAACGTAAGTACGCTTTACATTAACTTATCTCATTTTGTTTCCGCCAAATAGTTAATCGGTTTTATTCATATTCTATGCTTGAATGAGACAAAACACAAACAAAATCAGAAAATTAGCATTTAATTGTTATATTTTCATAATAGAATTACCAACTACGATTATAACCACAAAACAACGTTTGTAGGCCATTGCTATTGTAATAGTTATTTGTTCTACAAGTGTTTAATAGCGAATTCTATGCTATAACGCGAGCATGAAGAAAGCTTTTTTCACAAGTAGAACACAATGTTTTTTTCTACGACCTTTATGAATTATTTATTATTTTAATCAATTAATTATCGATAGCAGGATAGTGACAATCAAAATCATATTTTAAAATGACAAAACAAGATGTCTACTACACACAATACAATTTATTGTTTTCACACTACATTGTCATTTTTTACCGTTGAGGTGAATCAGAAACTTTATTTTTCATTCTACTTAGCAACGAAAAGATTAACTTTTTTACCAAGGATGCTCTATGACTTTAAGATAGTTGTCGCAGGAAAAAAATATTTTTACACTTCTTACTATTGTATTTCTGAAATAACGCTACAAATACTAGCAGATGTCACAAAAATGACGCACTAGTAAAATGTACTTAAATTTACTAAACAGTAGGTATTAACTTATGCAAAATTTAAAAAATTGCAATTATTTTTTGTCGCTTTTAAAGATGTAGATATACCTATTAAAAAAGAAGAAAATGATGATGTGTCCATACGTAAAATTTTTCTCTTTACAAATACCTAAAATTACGTGTTCATATGAATTCAAAAGAGAGAGTTGATGATGACTCTCAGATTAAAGACAGTTGGTAAACGACACAACAAATATTTGGGAATAATAACGTTTTTTGACACATTATTTTGACTTTTTTTATAAAGTTGACTGTACAGTTGGAGACAAAATACTTTGGTCGTCAATGTCACTTCAGTGACATTAAATTGTAAAGCATGCTTTAGGACTGTTAACCTTATTTTTAGCTACTGTCAATCATAGTTGACAAGTTGTACATATTTTTGATAGAAAAATATAATAGATGTCATTAATTTGAAATTGTCATTCATTTTAACGTTAAAGCTTGAATTATATTAAAGTGTCAGAAAAGTGACGACCAAAGTATTTTGTCTCCAACTGTATTCCTTGTTAGTTAAACAAAATTTAAAATAAAATTTAACACTCGAGACTTGATACTTCGAAAATCGAATTTTTCAAACTTTGTGACATTTATTACCAACCACCAAAAGGGCAAAAGTTCCTAAATTTTGAAAAATTGACTTTTATGTTAAAAAAGTACGTGAAACTCGCAAAATAGAAAAAAAAAGCATAAAAAACTTGTTTCATTTGTGGGAATTCGTTCTTTATAAAACTCGCACTTCCTACTCGCTTCAAACCTGAAGTCGTTCTACAAAACTTGCCTTACGAAACGCGTTCTTTAACATGCTATTTTAATATTAAACTTTGTCTGTCTACCTGGTGAATAGAAAATATGGAACGAATCGTTTTTGCTTATACTATTTATTTAATCAAAAAAACTAATTGATGAATGATAATAAAGTACTACAAAAATACAGGGTGCACCAGAACTCGCGCCCCAAAGAAAATTTTCCAGTAAGGTAAGATACCAGGAACATGGGAAAAAATGTTTAAAAAATTCTATCTGTAAAAAAATTTTGACATTTATTTTTTGACATTTGACATTTCTTTTTGTCTATTTAATGATAATGATGATCTTGTATATGTTTTTTTTTTACAATTATTTAGTAAAAGTACAAAAAATTTGCTAATAAAAGCCACAAATAACATTGAACAGAGTTACAATTTAGGACGTAGCTTCCTCTTCTAATAACCTGTATCAAAAAAACTTTGAAAATCATTTTTCCAACAGAAATAAGTAGAGTCAAAGTGCAAAATTTAAACTCTCATAACTTCGAAATTTTATAGATAAATTTTTTTAACATTTTTTATATGCTCCTGATATCTTACCTTATATGCCATTTTTCTCTGGGGCGCGAGTTCTGTATGACGTTTTTTAAGAACCAATTTTCCGATTTTTTTTTGTGTGAGTACTTTTAAAAACTGTATTGTAATCTTCAAAAATTTATAGTTTGTTATTAACAATCTAGACTGATGATGGAACAAGTTAGTGCCCGAAACATGTTTCAACACTTTCAACCAATAAAAGTTTTAATTTTTGTGCAAGAAGACTTTAATTCCTGTACCTCCCTGGAAGTAATTTATTTAGATTATAAGTCCAGTATTACAGTACGAATGAGATTTTTAAATGTTAAGATATGGGAATGAGTAGTACAGTCAGAGGCTTACCGGATGTGCATTATAATGTATTTTTCGTCGTTCCGTGTTGTTATAGTATGAATAACATTTAACAAACAATCGTTAATCTATCCATAATACCCTAGTAACAGAACTGTTAAAAGGTTTTACCAGTACTCTTCTCTTTTAACGCTCGGCTTTTTAACAGCTTTGACAGTTTGAAAATTTGAAAATATTTTTTTTAAACAAGTATGGTAATTTAATACGACAAAAAATGTACGTACCACACGTGTTGTTGAGGGCCACAACGACCGCGGGGCCCTGCTTCGTCGGCCTCAAACAACTCTCTCGGACATTATGGCCTTCTTAATAGCCGAAAATAATTATAATTTCATATTGTTTCAAGAAAATTTGCCAATAAAATTGATTTGATTTTTATTGTGTTGCTTACCGGCTCATTGCCGGACTTATTACGTATGTACACTCAGAAAAGTTGAAAATGACGTGTCCATAAACCGACTCTCATTATTTATTTTTTCTCTTACCAAACCACAGTTATAAACTAAACTAATAAAAATGCTTTTGCATTTAGCCTCAACATTTCTTTTAAGTAAATTTTGTTATGGGATTTTATTTCATTAATAATAATTATTATAATTAAGGGCGTGTAAAATGTGTTATTCGGTGTGTTATACTGAAACAAGCAAATTTGTAATTTTAAAACGTCACTATTCAGTCTCAATGGAAAGAAAGAAAAGTAAATTTTCTCTTGCTTTTGGGATTTTTTCTGCTTTTTAAGTTTCATCACAATGGGGTTTTTATTTTTTCGACAGAATTGTAAACAAAAACACGATTAGACCCGTCACACCAAACTGTTATTTCAAACAACGCGTTTCAACCACAAAGTGGTCATCCTCAGGTGAGAATAAAAACTAAAAAAATAAAAATAAAGATAAAACAGTTTTTATTCTCACCTGGTTGAAACGCGTTATGTTTGAAATAAAAATTTGGTGTGACGGGTCTAATCGTATTTTTGTTCATCGTTTCCATACCAAGAGGATCCAATAAGGAGTAGACAGAATTGTAACTTTGACAATTAATTAATTAATTATTGTAACCGGTATTATCAGTAAAAGAATAAAATGCTGCAAAGATTTGTTGCTCTCATTATAGCTGAATATTAATTGTTTTTCAACACTTTTAATTGGGATTCACTACTTCTACGAATCGTAAATTAGTTTTAAAATCCCACCACCTTTGTGACACTTTATTGAATCTTTTGGTTGTTTTCATTTTGGTTCTTACAATCTCGAACCTAAACATTAGTTGGTATTTCTGTGAAAAATAATAAAGCTTCAAAGCGATCCTTCATAGAATTATATTTAGATTATTTTAACTGGACGATCAGGTCAGAAATGAAATGAGGAATTCGAAATTATACGATGGGTTTCTCATTCGCCTCGTCTAAATCCAATAGAAAATTTATAGGGCAATATAGTTTTTTTCAACCCAAAGTTCGAGAACGAAATTTAAAATAAAAAAATTGGCGCAGCACGTTAATAACGTTTGGGACCCATTTCCGCCACTCACAAATTTGCCAAAATTCTTTGGATAGTATGCATGGACGACTTCATGAATGTTTAGCCAACAATGAATGTCATACACATTACTAATATTAATTTGTGATTATGCATAAAATATTTGTAAAATCTATAATTTTTGCTTTTTATTGAAATAAATAAAATTAATTATTTAAATTTAAAACAATTTTTGTCTTTAATTATAATAATTATTAATAAAATAATATCTCATGCTTTGAAGTTTTATTATTTTTCATGAATGAGAGCAACAAATCTTCAGAATGTTATTGTTTTGTCGATAATTATAATAATTAATTAATTAATTGTCAAAGTTACAATTCTGTCAAAAAAATAAAACCGCCATTATGGTGGGACTTAAAAAGCAGAGAAAAATCCCAAAATCAAGAAAAAATTTACTTTTCTTTCCACTGAGACAGAATCATGACGTTTTAAAATTACAAACTTGCTCGTTTCAGTATAACGCAACGTATAACACACTTTACACACGTTTAATTATAATAACTATCATTAATGAAATAATATCACCTGACAACATTTACTTAAAAGAAAAGTTGAGGCCAAATGCAAAAGCATTTTTATTACTTTCTCCTCGCAGATGATTTATAACTGCGGTTAGGTAGGAGGACCCAAATAATGAGGGTCGGTTTATAGACACGTCATTTTCAACTTTTCTGAGTGTACATACCTACTTAGAAGCTCTGATTTCGTAATAGTTCACTCAAAATAATGGGGCCGGGAAGCTTATTTTACTAGACAATATGAAATGAATTGTAAAATTTTGTCAATTTTTTTAAAAACTAGCCTGTTTAGCTAATTTGACCATATTTTATGTGTTTGTTATGTATTGTGGTTTGTTAATATTATTGCAGCTGTTCCCACATTTTGTGGGAATCTAAAATGTGTGCACTTGTGACGATAATATCTAATTTGTCATACTTACTTTCCTTAAAATTTACGTAACGCTGATTTTTAGCTACCTATATAACCTCCGGGACTTTCAGCGCATTCGATCAAGATAAAATCCCCAAAGACAATTTAAAACTTTGGGAGTAATATACTCTAGTGTGGGTTTACTTTAACAAC